GGTCGGACTCGTGCGTGTCGGCACCCTGGGCGACTGATCTCCCCGACAGAGAGGAAAGAAGTAGGGCTGGGGGGGGGGGGAGAGGAATATGTAGAGCTCCTGGGAGCAGATGGGGATGCTGGGGGCATCTCAGGAGGTTGTCCTGGGGGGGTGGGGGGCAGGTAGGGATGGTCCCTGACCTGAGAATGAGGACATGAAAGAAAGTGAAGTGGGGACTGGGAAAAATTCCCTGGCTGAACAGAGCTGGAAAAACTGAAATTTCCTCTCCAGAGATGAATCCCCAGAGGTCCACAGTGGCTCCACAGAAGCAGATGGCTACAAAAGAAATGGGGATGGAGGAGAAAATGCCTTTTTTTTTTTTCCTGCCTTTCCTTCCTGAAGCAGCCAACTTAGCCCAGAGACAGGGGGCTTTGAAGTGAAATGCAGACATGTGTTTGTTGCTCAGGTGTAGATGCAAGGAGGTGAGTGGGGAGTGGGCAACAACATGTTGAACCCAACTCCCACAAGGAGAGGAGAGGTTTCAGGTTCTAGGCCCAGGATCAGGGTGCTCCAACAAGGGAAGCTGCTGGAGTTATCCACAGTCCTTTGGGAGCTGGCAGCATGCATCCTTGTGGCTGCAGGACCACAAGAAAGAGCAGGGCAAATTTCTTGTAGCATCACTCACAGAGTGGGGACAGCTGTCCTGTGCTGGAGGATGTGAAGTCACACTGAAGCCCTCTCCCCAGAAACAATCTCTCCATGTCATCCAGATACTCTGGGGAATCTGGGCCTGATGAACACAGATCTGTTCTACATGGATCTGAGGACAGCATTAGCAGTTCAGACAGCCTGACCCCCTCTCACCCATCAACACACAGAGCTGTCTGCCCCACGGCAGTCTGTGTGCCTGCAGCTGTCCTTCTATCCCTGGCATTTCCTCCTTGTGACACCTCCCTGGATCTGTATTCAGAGCACAAATGAAGCAGCCTCACTTCAGCTTCCCCCTGGAAGTTCTTGTTCCTTACATCACTGGTTTTGTTTGTTGGTTGGTTTTATCTTCTGCCAAAACTTGGGACATAGGCACTGTGCGCACCATCTCATCCCCACTCACCGAGCCTCCCTTCCCAGAGCCCCAGGAGAGGTGATCTTCTCCCAGGGTATTCTAGGAGAAACCTCCCAGAGGATGTTCACCCAGGCCCCAGGGTAACAGAGATCCAGCTCTTCTCCTTCTGCTTGGAGCTAATTCCAGAGGAAGAAGGCAGCAGCTATGGAGTGATCTCCCTGTGCAGTCTTGGGATTGCAAGAACATCTCCCCCTCTGAAATGGGAACGGAGACAATGGCTTTCTGAATTGCCATGAAGTTTGTGTCCTGTAGGGAGGATACAAGAAAGCATTACTGACAAACCCTGGGCATCAGTGCCCCTTCCCTTGGTGACCACTTCACCTCTGATTGGAGTGGGCTGCTACAGCACAAGGCTTTCAGAATCCCAGAGCAGCTTTGGTCACTGCAGACATCTGGAGGTCTGTTGTCCCAGCCCCGCTCAGGGCTGGTAGATCTGCTGTACCAGGACCTCATCAAGGATGGCAATTCCTCGCCCTGCCAGGTCCCAGTGCCAGAGTTTTACCACTCTTACAGTGAAGCTCTTTTTCCAGTATCTAACAGAAATTTCCCCATTCCAGTCTGTGCCCACAGCTTCTCATCCTGTCTCTGTGCACCTCTGAAGGGAGACAGGCTCCATCTTTCCTTTAGAGAAATAAAGAGGTCAGTTAGGTCCCGCTCTGCACTCTCTTCTCCAGGCTGATGCATCTTCAGCCTCTCCTCAGGACACTGTCTGTGTCACTATCAGTAGCTGCCACTGCACTTGCTCCATTTTATCAATGTCTCTCTCATACTGGGGGTGCCAGCACAGTTGTAGCATGGCTTGATATATGTTTAATGCTTCACATGCCAGCACTCAAGGGCAGGCAGGGTGCCCCACCAGCACTAATAGCACACTGAGATGGCCACCATCCCCTTCAGGGCACTGCTTTCTCCTCCCAAGGGATGGCAGGAGCAGAAGCTTCAGCAGGGAAGGGTCCTGGTGGCTACCAGTAATCAAGCCTCAGGTGTCTGACCCTGTGTTGCTGTAGTCCAGCGAGCAGCAGGCTCATTCCCAGCTTCCAGCAGGAGCCCTCACTGTGCTTTCCCTCACGGGCAATGCAAACTATAGCTGCTCTGGCTTCCAGAAAGAAGGGAGCAACAAACCCATACGCATGGCTGGGCACACGGGTGCCTTGGGGAGCTGGGGGAGGGGATACGAAGTCTGACAGGGACCAATTCGCTTTCAGATCCTTCTTCTGCCCCAGAAAGTGGTGGGCAGGGACATGGAGTGGCAGTGAGGCTGGCCGGCAGTGGGGTCCTTCCCCCCCACTTTGCTCCCTGCATGGCTTTTCTGAAGCGGCTCAACCTGCAGCATCTCCTGCTGCATCCCGTCCCGATCTGCCAGCCGCCCTGCCAAGGCACATCAGTGCTGACCCGCGGCACCCGGCCACCCGCTGCTGTGCCAAGGCATCTCGCAGCAAGCCAAACCCCCCTTCTTGTGGCTTCCAGCGCCTTCCCAAGCGAGCTTCTAGCTGTGCTCTGGCTCCTTACCCCATGAGAACCGGGGCTGAATGCTCCCCTGAATGAAAGGGAGAATATAAAATCTACGGGATGTGAGCGGGCTGTTAGGGGGGTGTTGGGCTGTCCCCATGCCATCTCCCCCATTCTGCTGTCCACTGCCATGACCCCTCCCCTCTCCCAAAAAGGTCTCTCTTGAGTCCTCATCCCTCTGCAGCACCCATGGTCACCCCATAGCCTGTGACATTTTCCCCAGGAAAGGGATCTCGAGGACAACCCGTGTCCTCCACCCCACAGCTTCCCCTTTTGGCTTTGGCCCACTGAAGTCCTGGACATGGGGAAGAGAAGGATCTGGAGGGATTGGAAGCAGTGAGAGTTTCTATGGTTGGTAAAGCATAAACATTGGCGTTGGTTGGTGCAGTTGAAGGACACGGAAGGAGGACTGGGGGGGGAAGGGTGCAGGGTTTGGGAGGTGGGGAAGAGAGACTAATGGGGCTGTCCCATTACCTTCCTTAGGGGAAAGAAAAAAAAAAAAAAAAATACAAGGGCGAAGAGGGATAGATTCTTCCCTACCTCCCCAAAAAGGAAAAAGTGATGAGCTGCACTGGGGGACATCGCGCAGCAGAGCTGGAGAAGCACAAACAGGACCGAGCCGAGGGGGGCGGGGGGAGGATTCCTCCTGGAGCACATCGCACCCGAGGGGAGGAGAATGAATATTTAAATCTGAATTAAACAAAAGGGTGAAAACAGCTCCGAGGATTTCCCGAAACTCACTTGGTTGGAAACGGGAGTGGGAAAACGAGCCCCCCACGAACCCCCCCGCCCAATACCTCTCCGTCCTGAGCGTTCCTCCGCTCTCTGGAGCGTCCCTCCCCCGTTCGTCTTAGCTTCGGTAGCTCTGGGGGAGATACAGACCTGCGATTTGGGGCGCGTACGGGAAGGGGGAGGGTGGGGGGGCGGACACGGCCGATCAGGGACGAGGGGACAGATCAGGGGTTGTGGGGTCACAACAGGGATAAGGAGGATGAAATGGGGAGGGGTGGCCCTGGCTCGGAAGATGGTGCAGAAAACGTGCCGGCAGCGATCGGCGCTTACGATACAGCTTGGGCTTCACTTACCAGGAGTCGTCCCGATCCCACCTCTCCCTCTCGGGTCCGAGCCCACGCGTGACCCGGCGCCGGTTCTTATCACCCGTCCGCCCCGCGCTGCCACCCCGCCACCCCGCTGCCACCCCACCCTTCCCCGCTGCCCTCCCCGGCAGCCCCGTGACTGCCGCGTCCCGCGTGGGTCGCGCTGCGGTCTCGGGGTCCGTCTCCCCACTCCCCGTCCCACAAACCCCCCAAACCCAGAGGGATCGCCCCGCGCACCGCCTCCCACGCGGGACTCCCCGGGGCCGCCCGGAGCCGGCAATTCCCTTCCGCGGGAGCCCGCCGGGGGCCGGGAGGCAGAGACAAAGGCGGTAAAATATCCGTGCTCAGCTCAAGCCGCTCCGAGCCCCGCCGATCCCTTAACTAGATCGTTAGGGGATTATCCGGGACCTCAGCACCGGGGGGCGGCTGTCCGCGCCGTCCCGCTAACGGGAGTCTGCGGAGCTACGGGGGAAAGAGCGCAGCGAGGATCGTCCTCCGGGTCCGGTACCGGGCGGGGCGGGGGTCGTCCTCCGGGAACCGGGGCTCTGTCCGTGCCTTCCTCCCGCTTCGGGGCCAGAGGAAAGTTTGTGCCCGTGTCCCCGCTGCGGGGACAGAGCCAGGAGCTCTGATCCCGGTGGGATCGCGGACGGGAATCAGGAGAGAGCTGCGCTCGGTGCGGACGGGGATCGGGAGAGAGCTGCGTTCGGTACCGACGGGCGCGGGGCTGCGGGTAGAGGGGGCTGTCAGGGGTGGAGGCAGGCGGGGGTCGGGGGGGTCTCTCAGTGCCTCCGTGCCGATGGGCTCAGCTTTATCCGAGGCTGTAATCCCCCTGCTCCGGTAATTAAAAACTCCGCATTACAAGGAAAACGGTGTGCGGGGAAATGTAATCAAGTCTGGAGGGGCTTAACCATCTGCTAAAGGTTAGGACCGGCACGGCGGGGGACGCAGCCGGGGGATTTGGCAGCCGCTGCGATCCGCGCTCCTCTTAATCTTACCGCGGGGACGGGCGCTGCAGCTGCGGGGTAACACCGGCACCCCGGGCCGGGGCAGCGGTCGGGCTCACCGGGGCTCCACTCGCTTTTAGCGCGGCGTCGCCTCCCTCCGGGGTCAGCCCTGTCCCCTGATTGAGAGCGGCTCCGGAGGGGAAGGGGTTAAGCGGAGACCTCGGCGGGGGCCGGTACTGCGGGGTCGGAGCACCGGGAACGGCCCTCCCCGCTGATCCCGGCAGACCGGAACCCCTCGGAAGAGCGAGGACGGGCGCGGTGGGTGGGCTCCAGGGGGGCTGCGGGGCCATGGGGACCGGAGCAGTTTGCGGGAGGGGGCAGCTTTCCCTCCTCTCCCTCCTCCTCGTCCTCGCCCTCCTGGCCGCGCCGCACTCCACGGGTGGGCAGCTGCGCTACGCCATGCCCGAGGAGCTGGAGCACGGAGCCTTCGTGGCCAACCTCGGCGAGGACCTAGGGCTGGACGTGTCCACGCTGTCGGCGCGGCGGTTCCGCATTGTGGCCGGGGCCGGGGTGAGGCAGCACCTGGAGGTGAACCTGGAGAATGGGATCCTCTTTGTGAACGAGCGGATCGACCGGGAGGAGGTGTGCGAAACAGGGGGCACCTGCCTGCTCCACCTGCAGCTGCTCGTCGAGAGCCCTCTGGAGCTGTACCGTGTGGAGGTGGAGGTTCTGGACATCAATGACCACGCTCCCACCTTCCCCTGGCAGGAGTACGTGCTTGAGGTGGCTGAGTCCGCCATGCTGGGTGCTCGCTTCCCGCTCGAGAGCGCCCAGGATCCTGACGTGGGCACCAACTCGGTGCACACCTACCAGCTCAGCCCCAATGGCTTCTTCTCGCTCGAGGTGCAGACACGCAGCGACGCCAGCAAGTTTGCAGAGCTGGTGCTGGAGCGTGCCCTAGACCGCGAGCAGCAACGCACACACCGGCTGCTGCTCACCGCGCTCGACGGTGGCATCCCCAGGCGCTCGGGCACAGCCCATGTCCTTGTCACCGTGCTGGATGCCAACGACAATATTCCTGCCTTTGACCAACCCTCGTACGGAGTGAGCCTGCCTGAGGATGCCCCCTCCGGCACCTTGGTCATCCAGTTGAATGCCACCGACCTGGACGAAGGCCCCAATGGGGAGATTGAGTACTCCTTCAGCGGGCATGCGCCACCAAGCGTCCGAGAGCTCTTCCGTGTGGAGCCCCGCAGTGGGCAGGTACTGCTGAAGGGCCCCCTGGACTACGAGCGTGCCAGCCTGCATGAGCTCTACGTGCAAGCCAAGGACCGTGGGCCCTCAGCGGTGGCTGTGCACTGCCGGGTGCTTGTGCACCTCCTCGATGTGAACGACAATGCGCCTGAGGTGACCCTCACCTCAGTTTCCACACCAGTGCAGGAAGATGCCCCACCGGGCACCGTCATTGCAGTCATCAGTGTTCTGGACCGGGACTCCGGGGACAACGGGCGTGTGAGCTGTGAGCTGAGCCCCAGTGTGCCCTTCGAGCTCCGCTCCTCCTTCCGCAACTACTACACACTCGTTACCACGGAGCCGCTGGACCGGGAGGCAGTATCTGAGTACAACATCAGCATCACGGCCCGGGACATGGGATCCCCTGCCCTGCTGACTCGCAGCACCCTCACTGTGCCGGTGTCCGATGTGAATGACAACGCCCCGCACTTCCTGCAGCCCTCCTACAGCGTCTACGTGATGGAGAACAACGCACCAGGGGCCTCCATCTGTTCCGTCAGCGCTCTGGACCCTGACTGCCAGCAGAACGCCTACCTGTCCTACTCCATCACCGACGGGCACATCCATGGCATGCCTGTGGGCACCTACGTGTCCATCAACTCAGACAGCGGGCACATGTATGCCCTCCGCTCCCTTGATTATGAGCAGATCCGCAGCTTCCAGATCCAGGTGCAAGCACAGGATGCGGGCTTCCCCCCACTCAGTGCCAACGTCACCGTGCACATCTTCGTGCTGGACCAGAATGACAATGCTCCCGTCATCGTGTCCCCCATGCCACGCAATGGCTCTGTGGCCACTGAGCTGGTGCCGCGCTCTGCTGGTCCTGGCTACCTGGTGGGTACAGTGTCAGCAGTGGATGCAGATGCAGGGCTGAACTCCCGCCTGTCATACCAGCTGCTCCAGGCCACCGACTTCACACTGTTCAGCCTGGCACCAGACACAGGTGAGCTGCGCACCCTCCGCTCCTTCCTGGAGCAAGATGCGGCCCGGCAGCGCCTGGTGGTGCAGGTGAGGGATGGAGGGCAGCCATCGCTCTCAGCCACTGTGTCCCTGCTGCTTTCCGTGGTGGAGACCATGCCACAGACTCTCTCTGATTTCAGCAACTTCAGCCTCCCCCCAGAAGCCTCCTCCTCCTCTCCACTCACCCTCTACCTTCTGGTGTCCCTGGGCTCCATCTCCTTCACCTTCCTGCTGGCCATCCTCATCCTCACGGCCATCCGGTGCCGTGGGATGCGATACCCCTGGCAGGGCGATGGCTGCTGCTGCTGCCCCCGGCCCAGGCGCTCTCCTGATGGCCTCAAGACATCCAACCTGGCAGCACAGCCTGGTGCCAGCACAGCCGCCCACCTCGATGTGCCCGATGGTGGCCCCCCGGGCTACTGCTACAAGCTGTGCCTCGGGCCAGAGTCTGCCCAGAGCGACTTCATGTTCCTCAAGCCCTGCAGCCTGCCCCGCAACAACGAGAAAGGCCCTGGGAACCTGCCTGCTGCTGGGAAGCGGTCCCGGCCAGGGCAGCCCCTCCATGGCCCCAAGCAGGTGAGCTGGGCACAGGGCTGGCACCGCACTCCTCCGTGTCCCTTACCCCAGGGGTCTCACCCCTCAGCCCACAAGAGGAGTCAGGCACTGGTCCTCATGGAGGATAGGGTCAGTTGTGGGGATGCTCCACTGAGATTCCCCATGGGGAAAAGCAGGAGTGAGATGGAGTCCCCTACCCACCACCTTCTGTGTGCATCAGAGGCCATGGAGCTGCTTCAGTGCCTGGGATGGGGGGGGGTGAGAGAACATCTCCACACCAGGACACCTCTGTGCTCCTCCATGCCAGGCGATGCAGTGGGGAGCAGGACCCAGTCGTGTCCACATCCAGGCACTACGGCCAGGGGCTCTGTTGCTGGGGAGGAAGTGGAGATCTCAGGGTGGGATTTTGATGTCAACATTTGTTAGGTATTGAAATCAGGGATGCCTCATTTTCCCAATGAGAGACTCTGTCCAAAACATGATTACAAAGCTAGAGAGTGATGAAGCATCTAATCCACTTACTTTGGACTTCTAATGAAGCAGCCTGCAAGGAGAGCACAGGACTCGCTGCCAGCAGGCTCTCCCTCTGCATCTCCTTGCACCATTGGCTTTGCCTGTTGTGTTAATGGGATATTTCAGCCCCAGGTCATTGAACACGCTGCCCATTCTGCACCCTCACCCCAGGTGCCGGAGACCTGGGTGAAGTCATCATCACATCTGCATAAAAGGGTTTTTAGAATTAAAATCTGCTCTCTCTCCCCAGAGCAGAGCTTGGCGATGGAACCCCCACACAGGTGGTGAGCAAGTCTGCCTCTGTGACAACCCAGTGCCCTGAGTGGGGGTCCCAGAAAGGAGGGGGAGGATTAGCTCTGCCTCCGTTTCCCTGTCTGTAAAATTGGAGCTTCCCACAGGAAAAGGGGATGGAGGAGTTGGGGCCTTACTTGTTATTACTGAAGGTTAACAGACATTCCCCATTCTGTGTTTCCAGATAAAGCAGCCCAACACAGACTGGCTGCCCCCCAGCATGCAACGACCTGCACTGAAGAGGTATGGGACCTGTGAGCACAGGTGGAGGGGCTGTGGGGATGGGGAGGCTCCCACTGATGCAGAACTAAATTGGTCTCTTTGGTCTCTTCTCTTTAGCTCCCAGAGCCTGGAGGACGTGGGGGAAATCCACAGAGCCCTGCAGAAGGAGCACGAGAGGCTGTGCACGCTGGTGACCCCAGTCTCTGGTCAGTATGGGGGTGCTGGGGTGGGAGACCAGAACCAGACGGTGTTCCTGGGGTGACACAGCCCTGCCCCCAGCAGTGTGCACAGGGCTGCCCAGGGCCCCGGGAAGGAGGGAGGGTGGTGACACATGAGTGTTCTGGGATGTGAGTGTGACCCTCCCCCTGAAAAGGGGTGTAGACCCCAACAAGCTGTCCTCATGCCCATCTTTTCTCCAGAGTTTCAGAAGGCCTCAGCGGGCACCAACAGCGTCTGGGCACCACAGTATGGCCCCTTGTACCCGGGGCACATCCCAGCCCCAGATTACCAGCACAACGTCTACATCCCTGGCACCCCAACTCTGCTTTCCAGTAAAGATGGCCCCCTGGTTCCAGGCCGGGAGAACAAGAACAGCTTTTCCACCTTTGGCAAGAGGAAGAAAATGACGACATACTACGATATGCCTGACAGTGTGGTTATCAACAACGACCTGAAATAGTGTCTGGTGCCAGGCCTGGATCACCCACATTACGCTTCACTTCAGCTGCTGGGTCCATCTGCAGCACACAGCTTCATTCACGGACTGCTCCAGAGTTTGTAGGGCTGCCTGGGGGTGGGGAAAGGAGCAAGAGGATGAGGCAGGGTGGGGGGTGAGGGAGGAGCAGGCATTTCTCCTGTCTCTTGCAGAGTTGTGTTGGCAGCAGGTGCTGCTGGGGGTCCAGGTGAGCAGATTTCAGCAAATCTGCCTTGAGTTTACCCATTCCCATGTCCCCTTTAGGGGCGATCTATCTCTGTAAATGTTGTCACTTTGTCTTGTCTGGCTGTGTGAATGTACTGTGCTGCATGCCTGTATTTCTGCCTCAGGAAGCAGGGAGATGTACACAGACCAAATATGGCATCAGTTAGTGGGCAGCAATCAGTGCCCTGCTCCTGGGACTCAGTAGGAGATGCTGCACATCCAGAGCTGGTGTCTGGTTTCTGAGTGCAATCCCAGCCATTATGTGGGCTTCCCTTCAAACTGCCACCTGACACATGCAGAGCTGTGAAGTCCAAGATGCAGCTGTATCCTGGATGCTACCAGTCCCTGCTCTGCAAACAGCACAGGATGGCCAGAAGGACTGATGGAGATGCACAGGGTGAGGCCCTGCTGGCTAACTCCAAGGCAACATCATCTGAGAGGAAGTTTCCTTCTTCAGAGGAGTCCCAGCATGGTGACAGCTTTCTCCCCTTCTTTTGTTCTCACTTGCATCTCCACTTTTTCAAGTCCTGAGCACCTTGGTTAACCCCACCTGTGCAGGACACGCGGCTCCCACTGCTCTCTTTTCTCTTCAAGGACTTCCACCAGGCTGCCAGGAGCCCGAGGGCCGGGCTGCAGCCCCAGAACCCCACACCTGTGCACCCGCTCTGTCTGCCAGCATTGCTGATCGCTCGCCTGTGACCAGATAGCTCGAGTCCAGCCCATCTGTGCAGAACATGACAGCTCTTTCTAAAGCAAGTTTGTTTCATGATGTCTGATTTGTACCAATAAATGGTATTTTGCTAGCTCACTCTGCCTGCTGGCTGTCCTGAGCCCCAGCTGCACCCGATGGCAGGGATCATCACTGAGCTGCAAAGTAGGAATCAGCTCCAGCACATGTGCAGACGCTATGGCTTTCTTCACTGCCGGAACAACCTAGGAAGGCTCATTCATTCCTTTCACCCAGAAGCTGGGGGCTCGAGGTCCCCTCTTGCTGCATTCAGGCCCACCTAGGGCCTGGCAGGAAAGCATGAACAGCAACGGAGATGGCTGGAGCTGCTGGGGAGGAGGGGTTGGATCTCGCTGTGGATTATTGTTATAATTGTGCATTGCTTTCTATGGCTCATTTCAGCTTTCCCCTAGCTGCTCACCGCCCACCAGCTTGCTGCAGGAATAGGAGTGCAGGAGGAGATAACCTGGATGCGCCTGAGGGAGAGTCCAGCGGGGAACAGGGAGGGCAGCTGGGGGCTCCTAGCAGGAGGTGGGAAGGGGCTCAGCTAGGGGTGAAGTGCAGAGATGGCCATGCTGTGGCTGTTCCTTCTCCTGTCCCTGCTTGTTTGGGGATAGGCCTGAGGAGGCTGCAGTGCGGCTTTTGGGATTAACCCAGAAAAGTCCTTGTCTATGTGCAGGTAATGAGCTCTTTGGTGGGAGGGGGCAGGAGCACACTGAAGGGCCTGTGGGAGTCAGAGCCTCTGGAGGAGTGGGCTGTGGACATGAAAGGGACCTGGCTGCTGCTGGTGCCTCCAGTCCCAGCTTGCATTTGTCTGGCTGTGAGCAGATAAAAGATTCCCTGTCCCAATTAGAAGGTAGGATGAAGGATTTGTTGCTGCCGAGTGGATTCTGCAATGGCCTCTGCAGAGTGATAACGGTAAAATAGAACCCAAAACAGCTGCTGCCTGAGACCCCAAACAGCATTAACCTGTTTCACTGCTTCAGAAGACAAAAGAATTATGCAAAGTGATACAATAAAATTAATAACAGCCTCAAGAAGCAATAAAAGCATCAAATGGACTTGACTCCCTGCGGGGGCAGCAAGCATCTCCCTCTCCCAGCTTAGCTCCAGTAATAACTTCCCTGCTGTTGTCAGGTGGTGCAGGCCAGGCATTAGGAGAGTGCTGCAGCTGCTCTGCATGCCCAGTGCATGAGACCCATGGCACACTGGATCTAATGACATGGAGCTATAGCATTGTATAGGAGTTGCATATCCCAAAATTGAGCCCCCAAACCATAGGCGTTGGAAATGGGCAGTTTGCACAGGGGCATCTCACACATGAGAAGCCATCTAGACATGCACACACATCTGCACATCCCACTAACCCACAGGCATGCAGCACGGCTCAGATCAGGTCTCCTCTGAGAGCTGTCTGGGGGTCAGCCCAGCCCTGCCCCAGCCCTCCACCTGTCCTGAGCATTCTCTGCTTTGCTGGAGGAAATCCTGCATTAAAGTGATTCAATTCCAATATCAATAAAAGGAGAGACTTGTCACAGTAGAGATAGTTCTTAAACCTGACGATAGCTGCAGCGCTGCCCCATCCACAAAGGGCATGCCTGGTCAGAACGGTCAGCCTGACAGCTCTTCCTCATTTCACAATATTCCATAGGGACAGGCAGTCATAAAAAATGCAAGCTCTCTACCCTGCAACCAGTTATTTTTACAACTCTTCCTGTGCTTACACTCCCGCACAGCTCATGGGCATTAGCTGGTTTCTGTAGTCTGGTAATGCATCAGGCACGAGAGCTGCTTCAGAGACATACTCAGTGCTCTCCATCCGTATACTCTGCTCGTACATCCCAGGTCTTTCAGAGATCCAGAGGCAAATCCTGCTTTCAGGGACCTGCCAGCCAGCCTGAGATGTGTGCCTCCAACAGTGGGAAAGCTGCCATGTGGTGCCGTTGGCTGCAAAGTGCTGTGGGCTGCGTTAGGCAGCACAGAGTGCTTCTGGGCACCGGCTCAAATGGGGCTTTTTTGTGCTCTCACTCTTGCTGAATAGACTCTTTGGATGGAAACATTGCTATATCTCTGTAATGACTTAAAAGCGTATAGCAGAGAGACAAATTGAATCCAGAGGCAGAGAAAAAAGAGGCCAGGAAGGGCCCAGAGGGGCTGGTGCTCAGCTCTACCCCAGTCTGCAGCGCGTGGAGCTGAGCAGCATCCAAAGAGCCCCAGGAAACTCCGTGGGTTGTAGGCAGAGCCATGGGCATGTGTGTGTGCACCACTCATCAGAGGGAGCGGGGTCAGCGGGACCTCAAAACCCCAGGGAGTAGAGGGGCTGCGTGTTGGCCCTGGGTGAGTTCTGAATCGAGCCCAAAGCTGTGGACTCGTGGTTAATCCCCATCTCCAGTGAGGCTGGGCCTTCATTGTGTTGTGTTTTCTGACCTGAAGATGCCACTGGAATTATCGTGCCTCAATTTAGGTGGGAATGGATCTGGACCCTTCCTGATTTCTTTTCAGATTGCCTCAGTGTCTCCACTACATCTCCAGGCTCACCCTGCTGGGCAGGGTGCTGTTCCTGCTGCATCCCCCTCCTGCCTCCTTTCATTCGGCAGAAACAAACATCCTCCAGCTTTTGTCATAATAATTTCGCCTCTGCCACGCTGAGAAACGGTCTGCACAACTGTTGTGTGTTGATTTTCTCTGCTTCTTTGCACTTTTTTTTTTTTTTTTTTCTTAAACTGCTCTGAAAACATCAATTCCTGCTTGCTCCACAGGGCTCGTAGGAAGGAGTCGGCCGGGCTTTGCCTCCCGCTCCTCCTGCAGCGTGCTCTCAATCTACATGGTGGAAATGTCACTGGCTCCGTTTGCAGCCTTCACTCAAGCGGAGTTAATGTTTCTTGTTAGTGATAATATGATTTAATCAGCTTAATTATTGTGAGAACAAAGTAGACACCTTTGTGTATTGAATAACTGATGGCACGCTGGACCAAAAAGCACAGAATAAAGCTTTGAAAATGAATTAAATATGACCTCTAGTACAATCTGCACTTTGGCTAATGATTCATCTCCCATGGAACTCACTGATTTACAAATCTTACATTTGAATAAATGATACATTCTTTGCATGTTTTAAACAATAGCAGCAATTTTTTACTTCTGCATTTGGAATTCAAAGCATTCCTCTGATGCCAGGAAGAAGGGCAAACACGTTCGTGTTAAACGGATTGAAAAATAAAACATTTGTGCAGCCGACCGTCAGAAATACATCCAGAGGATCCGGAGGCATCTGTGATGAGATATTTATTTTAATTCATTACTAGGGATATCTGCAACAACAGGTGAAAAAAAATGCAATGGAAGAAATGAAGAAAGAGAGAAGATTCGCAGAAGGGTCACTGAGGTCTTCACATTGAACCCATTCATTTCAATAATGCCTACTACAGAAAATGTCATTAAATAGCTCCAGAAATGTCTTATCATAAATTTTTGCCTGCACAGAAAATAAATCCCATTTGTACAAAGGGAAGAGAAGCAGGGAAAGCAGCCATCAATCAAGAAAATCATTACGAGTATTAGCAGGGTTTCAGATAGGCCGAGATGGAAAGAGTGTGTGACAGCATGCTGCATGTGAAATAGGAAAATGGGGGTGAAATTGCTGTGTGAACCCAGAGAGAAGATGAGCTGTCTAAATTTGTTCTGCTGCAGTGAGTCATTGGATGTCTAGATCCAAATTTTCCCCTAAAAAGCGTTGGAGTTCACTGCGGTGCAAACAATAACACAGATACCCATTGGGGAATTTGTTTCAGCTCAAGTCTGTCTGAAATTAGAGATTTGTTTGGACTCTCACATCACAAGGACACTGATATTCCCTTCTGCAAGTTGCTGGTATGGGGGCTACCTGAGCTACTGGCCGGGCTAGACTGTTAGTGTGGGAGCAAAGTCTCTGACTCCATTTTTGGATGGATCCAAGAGTGGGGATGTCTCTCCTATTTGTTTTACTTCTTGAGTTGTTCTTTCTCTGTCTCTGACCTCACTTTTGGCACATAAATGTGGTATTGTTACAAGTTTTGAATCTTTTTCAGACTTTGCAAAGCTGTTGTCCATTGTGATTCCAGTGAGTTCATATAAAGGTAATATTACTGTGAGTTTTGCCAAGCAGCTATCCACTGCAAGTTTTAGGCAAAATTCAAATTATAGAATCATAATGGTTGGAAAGGACCTCGAGGACCCCCCAGTTCAACATCAGCCCGCCCCCACCATGTCCACTGACCACATCCCTCAGTGCCACATCTCAGTGACTCTGGATAGTGACAGGGATAGTGACCCCACCACCTGCCTGGGCAGCTTCTGCCAATGCATCACCATTACTAAATCTATGATTAGTCTGAACCTCTCATGTCATAGTCCTTACTCCTGTACTGCCTGAACCTCCTCTGAGAGCAGATGGAACATCTCCACCCAGCTCACCGAAATGCACATCCCTGCAGGCATCTATACGTGAGGAGCTGGATGTGGAGCTGAATC